AAGAAAGGAAGCCTGCGCCATGGAGACCCAGCTCCTCTGAAACAGGCTGCTGGCAGAGAGCCCGGGAGAGCCGCGCCACGCCGCGCCGTGCCGTGCCGCGCTCTGCCGACACCCCCAGCCGCCCCCGCGTGGCTGCCTGGGCATGGAGCCCGCCCTCCTACGTGACGCCCTCCCCGGTGCCCCAGAACACCCGCCGGGAGCACGGGGCGCCAGCCCCTGGCAGGTGGGGTGGGGTGGGGGGTGCGAGATGCATCATTGCACAGAGCCGCGTGCCTTTCTCGTTAAACGAGAACGCTTTGCTGTCGTGCCGGGCCCAGCGCTGCGCGATCCAGCTTGAGAGCAAAGCCAAACCAAATAGGACTTCGCTGGAGCGAGTGAGAAATAGTGGCGGGGCTGCGCATAGGAACGGCAGAGACGATGCTGGTGGGGCGCCAGGGCCGCTAGAAAGGAGACGGGGTGGTTAGCACCCGGGGAGTGAAGGGTTTAGCAGGGAGATGATGGTGGGCTGTGAAGTCTCAGCCCGGGCTGGGTTTCCACTGGGGGTGGAGCAGGAATCGAAGGGGGCAAGTGCAGCCCTGCACCCGTCCCTGCCTAACGCCACAGCAGGGGCCAGGTTGCAGGTGCACACGGGACAGTGGCTGACACCGGGGCTGGGCCCAGCCTTTGGGGCCCGGGGCCTTGTCCCTTTGCTTCCCCTTCTCCCCTGAAGAGGCGGGCAGGGGTGGTGTCAGACCCAGCGCCGGGGTTCCCGGGGCCTGGTGGGCGCAGGGCAAGGGGCTGCAGGTGTGCAGGGGGCGGATGCCGCTGGGTCCTGGGAAGAGTCCTGGCCCGTCAGGATATTCACACACAGGGCCACTAGGGGGCACCAGAGAGGCAGGCGCAGAGCTCTGCTGTGTACCGGTGGCCTGTTGCACCTGTGTGTGGGTGGGAGTAAGGAGCAATGCAACATGGGATGCCTGTAGGACTGACTGGACCCGCGTCCTGTGACACCTGATGTCCACACATCACGTGGACCCAGTTGGCAGTGAACCCGTTCAGAAGAGCATTTGGTTTTCCAGGCATGCTTTTGAACCATTCCAGGTGGATTTAAACCAGTTTAACAGGCTTGTCCATCTGTCCACTTTGGGTTTAAAGCAGTCCTGGTGCCACGTGTGTCCATGCCCGGGGCTCCTCAGTGCCGCATGGTGGTGCCCTCGGCCGCCAGCCACATGCCTCACCAGATGGCTCCCGGCACAGCCTGCGGCCATGGGAGGGGCAGCGCCGGGATGGCAGCTGCAGGCAGGGGAGCTGCGTGCCGGCGTCCAACTCCTGTCCTCTGTTTCGCTTCGCAGGCTTCTATGGGAGACCGTGGTCCATGGAGCAGAGGAAGCTTCTCTTCCAATGGCAAGTCCCTGCACACCGGCGTGGAGGCCCCAGTCTGTGCGCTCTGTCGAGAGGCCGCAGGAGCCTGCGCAGTGGCAGCGGCAGATGCCATCTCCCGTGCAGCTCTGACGGGTGCTCGAGCTACCTGTTGCTGCGTGTGTCCATTCACCCTCCCTCCCTCTGGGGTTCGCCACCACAAGCGCGGCACTGGGCGAAAGGGCACAGCGCTCCGTTCCAAATCCTCCCCGGTTCCCCCGCTACATCCTCTCTCTCCAGGCAGCCGTGCCCGGCTCCCCCCAGCTGCGTGGGTGTGGGCAAGGCACCGGCCTGGGCACAGGAGAACCAAGGGGGTCCCTTACAGTGTGGGCTGAGGGGCAGAGCAGTTTGGGGGCTGGGTGGCCAGGTGTGCATCCAGCCCAGTCGTATGTTGGAAGTGAAGCATCCCACCATGGTGCCTTCACTGGCTCGGGTGGTGCCAAGGGTCTGGGGTTTCCTGGGGTGAGCGTGGGTGGTGGAGCCGAGAGCCCCACTGGGCCTGGACCCTGCAGCACACCAACGTGGAAACCTGCGAGATGCTGCCTCCACGCTCAGCCGGGCTCCAACCTCGTCGCTGGCCCACGTTCCCAGCCAGACGTGGCCCCTGCTGGAGCATGCAGTCCTGGTGCCAGCACCCGGGGCTGGGCCCTGGACACAGGAATGGCCACGGTGGAGTCACTAGTCGCTCAGCCTGCTGGGTCTCTGGTGCCGGGACAGCAGGGAGCAGGAGGGGCCACGCTGTGCCACATAGGCCATGCCGGGAGCCACCCCTGGTGGGGCACATGGCTGATGGCTGTTGTCACCACCACGTGGCACCGTGGAGAGCGCAGGAGGCAATGGGAGCAGGAGCATAAGGGAGCTGATGGAGTTGAGGCTGAGGCCCACAACTTCAGGGTGGGCTGCGGAGGGGTTTGATGGGCCGGGAGCCCCCAGGGTGGGGGGCAGGTGTCCTGCTCTGTGAGAGCCTGGCCAGGGCAGGCCCCACTGGAGAGGGGAAGCCGCCCTCGAGCACAGGCCCCCGAGAGCTGTGGGTGCAGTGGGGTCCCGTGGCACCATCAGCCCCAGGCCCTGGTCCCCACAGTGCTCAGCAGGGGGCAGTGGTGCGCTGCAGCTGTGGGGGTGATGACGGCCACGCTGCAGATGTGGGGGGCTGCTCACCGGAGATGGGGTGATCCTGGTCACTGCAGGGGGGTGCTGCAGTAGCTTTGGGAGGGGCATGGGGATGGCAGCCACGGTGTGACCAGGCGATGGACACCTCCCTGGGAGGCCCAAGCCAGAGGGTACTGGCCAGCCCCCATCAGCTCTGGGACCGTGGCTGGATGCTGAGCCCCGGCTGGGGTCTGCCATGGAGAGCAGGTGTTCCAGGGGGACAGGGCTGGGGGCCGCTGGGACAGGGACGCCCACCTGCCACATGCCAGGCCCCAGGTTTTGCGCTGAATCTACAGGGGCGGGTCCGTGGCGTCCTGGTGGCAGCATGGGGAGGGCTGTGCCAGTGCCCGGAGGCCAAGGCAGGGCAAAGCCACCACTGGAGCTGGCCCCCAACCTGAGGGCCCCGCCGCCTGCCTTTGCTGGCCGGCGAGAGTCCCATGCCACGGACACGCTCCTGCTGGTGTTGTCCATCGGGGATCTGATCTGTCCCCACCACAGCAGCCCGCGGAGGTGGGCAGAGCAACGAGCATGAGGGGCATTGGGGCCCAGAGATACCTCCCCCAGGGCCCAGGCTGCTGGCTGGGCCTGCCACGTGTGTGCACGCACACATAAGTGTGCACATGTGTGCATTGGGGGCTGCACCCAGGCAAGCGGTGCCTCTGGAAAGGGGTCAGGGTTGCTGCAGACACCGCCGGGTACATGGGAGCAGGAGCGGAGGGAGGGAGACAGGCCAGAGGCGAGTGAGCCTCTGGATCAGGACCACGGCTGGGTTGCGCTTGGTCAGGTCAGGGCAGGCAGAGAACGGCCCCTGCCGACCCGAGCCCCTGCCAGGATGGGCACAAGCCTGCCCCTGCCCTGCTCCCGCCTGGCAGCGCGTGTCCCCAGCTGCTGCCTGCGGGCACAGCTCAGTGAGGGTCTGCCCGGGCTCTGCAGACAGATGCTGGCACCGGCCTCGGGCAGCGATGGGATGGTGTGGCGAGGCCCAGCTGTGCAGCACCACATGCAGCGCCAGTCAGGTTGGCATGGCCAGTCATCGTGTCCGGCACGCTGGGTCATCCCCACACAGGTCCTGAGCCCGGTGGGGCTGGACCGGTGCCGTGAGCTCAGAGGCTCTGTGCGGTCATCGTCACCGGGGAGCGCAGGCCTTGGCCCCGCGGCCCAGCTGCTTGTCTGGGTGGAGGCCCATGCGCAAGCCCAGACGCCAGTGTCCGGTGGAGCTGCCAGGCCAGGGGGCTGCATTGCACAGGCCTGGCGGGGGGCTGGCAGGCCTGGGGACCTCCGTCTCCCTGGCGGCCTGGCTGTACCTGTGCCCTGGGAGATGGCCCAGTGCCCGCAGTGATGCTGTGCCCTTGCCGCAGGCTCAAGCGCTGGGGGCTGAACTGCTACATGTATGCGCCCAAGGATGAGCTGAAACACCGGCTGCTCTGGCGGGAACCCTACACAGAGCACGAGGCAGGTACCGGCTCCTCTGGGCCCCGGGCACTGTGCCGGGGCCGGGGTCTGTTCCAGGACCAGGGGTGGGAGCTGTGCCGGGGGGCAGGCGGTCTGCTGGGCCCTGTGCTCTGCCCTCACGGCCCCTCCGCGGTCCCCAGCCCAGCTGGCATCGCTCATCGCGGCCGCACGGGAGCAGGGCGTGGAGCTCGTCTTCGCCCTCTCCGCGGGGCAGGACATGGTGTTCTCCAGCGCCAGCGACCGGCTCCTGCTGCAGCGCAAACTCAGGCAGGTACCGTGGGCCGTTCCTTCCCTGCCCTGGCGCGAGGGCACGCGTGAGTGCGAGGGCCCCTCCGCATCCTGGTGCAAGGGGCACGTGAGTGTGAGTGCCCAGCCATGTCCTGGTGCAAGAGCACGTGCGATTCTGAGTGCCCAGCTGGGTCCTGGTGTGAGGGCGTGTGTGAAAGTGCACAAACTCCCCTCGGCCCCAGGTGCCCGGGCTGTGGGGACATTTGCTGCTCCAGGCAGGCAGGAGATGCTGGGGGCGGCGGGGCCACACCAGACCCTCTGCAGGGCCACACCGGGCCCAGCACAGGCCCCGCTGGCCCTGGGCAGGGAGCCCAGGACTGCCAGGGGCACCAGGAGCCTGGCTGCTGGATGCCCGTGGCCATGGGCGCTGCTGGCGGGGGGGGGGTTGGCACGGGGGGGGGGCC